CCTCGAGCTACCAGGAGTGATGTAATAATGGATTTGGGACTGGGGGCTGCTGGCTGTGGGAGACATGGGGACTTCAGTGGTGGGAGGGTAGTAGGATTGCACGGTTGGGGTGAGGGCCTTGGAACCTGGCTCAATGCCCACCTGGCACTGTCTCTCTTGTTGTTGGTCAGTGGACTTCCTGCGGAATCTATTCTCCCAGACCCTGGGCCTGGGCTCCCAGAAGGAGCGTCTGCTGGATGAGCTGAGCCTTGAAGGAGTTACCCGTTACATGCAGAGCGAGCGCTGTGAGTCCCCCACTGCTCGGCCGCTTCTCCCACTCCTGGCCCAAAGTGACTTGAGATTTGTTGTGTATGGGTAGCAAGAGACACTGCTGAGTATGGTGGTATACACCTGTAATCCCAACCCTGAGCAGAAGTGAAGATCAGCCTTTCAAGGTTAGCCACAGCTGTGCGGTGCGTTTAAGGCTGACCTGAGCTACTTGAAAGCTTTTCTAAAATTAAAAAGATGGAGGAAACCCAACTCTTGAGATGTAGAGAAGGCTTACTAGTTAAGATCACTGGCTGCTTTTCCAAAAGACCTGGGTTGGATTCTCAGGACCCACATGGTGGTTCACAACCATCTGTAACTCCAGTTCCAGGGGATTCTACTTATGGCCACTGTGGGTATCAGTTATGTACCTGGTACACAAACATTCTTACAGACAAAGCACCTGTACACTTAAAAAGAAACTCAGCTCCTCAGGAAATTTAGGCAAGGGAATCAAAAAAAGCCGGGTGGTGGTGGCACTCACCTTTAGTCCCAGCACTCGGGAGGCAGAGGCAGAGGCAGAGGCAGAGGCAGAGGCAGAGGCAGAGGCAGAGGCAGAGGCAGAGGCAGAGGCAGAGGCAGAGGCAGAGGCAGAGGCAGAGGCAGAGGCAGAGGCAGAGGCAGAGGCAGAGGCAGAGGCAGAGGCAGAGGCAGAGGCAGAGGCAGAGGCAGAGGCAGAAAACAAAAAAAAAAAAAAAAAAAAGGAAGACAGACAGACAAGAAACCTAGCCCCAAAACGGAGCACACAGACTCTCAGCATTAAAGGTGATGGTGTGAGGCGACATTGTTCTCAAGCCTCTCAAGTCTGACAAGTGTGTGTGTGTGTGTGTGTGTGTGTGTGTGGGGGGGTGGGGGTGT